TTTATAATTTAATGTAATAAAAAAAATGCATCAACAAACACCCAGTAGAGAATAAATACCCACCATTTGCAAGACAGTGTACAATATGAAAAGCTAAGAATTTTGTCTTAAGGACTTCGGTCATTGTTTAAATTTGAAAGCTGTATTTTTAACTTGTATTAAACTTCAAACTCTTTATATTCCAGCAGAGCTAATAATTTGAGGAATTTTTTTTTTAATAGTCAAAGTTTTGAGAAGGAAGATGACATGTTTTTCTGATAGGTCTACACTTAACAAAAAGTGGTGTGTTAACTTATTCTTTGTTCTCTTTTTGATGTTTGCAATTGTATTCTGAGCCCAGAATGTTAAAAACCTGATTTGTGATACCTGGAATTTTTAGCACTGGCTATAAAGTTCTTCAGTACTATGTAAGCTAAAGACCTTTTTCATTTATAGTAATTTTATCTTTCTTTTGATAAGATGTCTTCAAGAGTAGTAATAAATCTGAGTACTTAGAGATTGCCACTAACTCTACCCATATAGCTCTATATTTTTGTCTTGAAAAGAAGGCTTATGTATTTGTCTTCCACAAATATACAACATACTTTCCTTATGGGAAGAAGAATGGAACTTTTGCTTAGAAGTTATATCACATTAACAATTCAATTAGTAAAAAAAAATGTCTGAAATGGAAAGATTTGAAATGAGAAATGTTTACTATGTTCTTCAGAGTTGAGCTAACAAATTTCTACATATGAAATCATTCTTAGTTTATTTAACCAGCAAATAAATTCTGTTTTCCAGAACAATCTCTGGAGGTTAGTTAGGGAACGCCTCTCTTTGACTGGCATTAACTCTTTTTCTGATCCTTTCTCTACAAAAAGAAGACAGGCATCTCTTATTCATATTGGTATGTTCCTCTGCACACATTTAGCCTCCAACCTACTTGACGGTCATTGAAGCTGCTTGAAACAGACTTTGTAGGGTAGATTAAAATGGCAAGAAATATAATGTTGAAGTGTATCTTATAGGCAGGGTAGTAGTGTGGGTTGCTTTGTGTTTATCTTGTTATATTATCTTAGTTTTGTCCATTGTGTGTGCCTCATCTAGAATTGTGTAAGAAGAATTTACTGAGTTTTACTCCTCATTTCTTGGTTGGTGATAAAGTATACTTGGCAAATAATCAATTTACAATTTGCTATGGCAGATTGATAGTTGAAAGTGCTTCAGAGAAAACAATGAAGCTTTCGTTGTCTGGTGTCTGGTTTTGATGAAGTTTATCCAACTTGTATCCTTCATTTTAATGAGGAAACCATAATACCTGCCCAGACAGTTGTTTTGACTTTCTGAGTGTGTTGCTTTTCCAGTTCATGCCTTCCCCTGGGGTGGTTGTAATTGATTTTTTTTTTTAGTCTAACGTTATGTTTAGGTTTATTCATTTATGCAAGAGTTGTAAGATATTGATCATATTAAGCAAGGTAGAAATAATGTTTTTAGGTTAAAAACTTTTTTTGTTAGATAAGCTAAATTATCTAATGGAAGATTGACTTTTGGGGTCAGTTTTACCTAAATACAGCAAGGTTTGGGATTATGTTGTTTTCAAGTATGGCATTCATCCAAGTTACACGTTGGATATTTTGTTCACATTTTACAAGGCTTTTATTTTTCCTTTTAAAACTATGGGACAAATAAATAAATAAATAAATAAATAAAACTATGGGCCTGTCCTTTACCCAGAATTTACCTAGATAGTTTAGTTTAAGACGTGTACTTATGTATAAGACATCGTTGCTTTTTTTTTTTTCCCTAAGTAGTGATGAGCATTAGCCCCTCTCCATTTCGTCTTATCAGTAGAATCAGAATGGATGGATGGCTTTCTTATCTTCATCTTCTTAATTAGGACTTTAAATAATACAGAAATTGAAAAGGATGTAAGAATATTACGTACTACTTGTTCTCCCATTCAATAGCTGATTTTAGTTCTTTCTGTTATCAAAATGTTTAAAGCTATACTGCGGTTTAAAAATGTATCAATTAAAAAAAAAATGTAGCAATAGAACCTGATGAATTAAAAGAGGCTTCCAGGGACCCCTGGGTGGCTCAGTGGTTGAGTGTCTGCCTTCTGCTCAGGGTGTGATCCTGGGGATCTCAGGATCGAGTCCCACGTCAGGCTCCCCGCATGGAGCCTGCTTCTCCCTCTGCCCGTGTCTCTGCCTCTCTCTCTGGGTATCTCATGAATAAAGAAATAAAATCTTTTTTTTTTTTAAAGGCCTTCCAGTATAGTTTAAATAGGTTGGTGGCGTCATGAACCAGTTGAGAAGCAAGCACTCTCACTTGTAACTTAGGTTAAGTTACAGGATCTTTGAAGGCAAGGGTTTATCTCAAAATACTTTGAAGCTCCTGTAAGTGCCTATCACGTATGAAGAGTTCCTATCTGGTAGAAATTGCCATAAGTTGGGAAAAAAGTTGTACTTCACCAGTTTATGTAACCCAGAGTTTCTAGTAAAGGAGTTGATTGGAAATGGAATTAAAGGTTGAAAAAAAGAGTTTGGAAATTAAAAATTAAGTATTTCCTAGTGATGAGTTCTTTCCACTGAGACCGTGTGCCGCTTCCTTTTCTAGGTAAGTACTGCCTTTTCAAAACTCTGGCATCATTTTCAACCTTGCCTGTTGAGGAGCCAAGGACACAGTAAAAGCAGTAAGAGAATAGGTGGTTGGGCTGGGTGTGCTGTGATGAAAGCCTAAGAACATTGTTTTGCAAGTTTTGATGAACATGACTTTTTTACTGACTACCTCTTTTGTCACCACTGTGCCCATTTTTGAATGTTTGATCTCGGAAAAAGGCAGAGATCCTTATGGTAAATTCTAAATATTCCTTGTTTAAAACAGTGGAATCAGCTGGTGAGAGAGAGATGGTTATTCATTTTAAGCAGCAGTTAATTACAAAAAAAAAAAAATTAATGGTTGCCAGTCTCTGTGAGACCTTCACCTCTGTTTCTCAGTCATTACTTATCACTGGTGCACTCCCTCTATCATTTTCTCCCCTTTTAATATGTCTGTGGTTTCTTAGGGCCATGGGATAAAGTCAAATCAGATGCTGCTTTAGCGGGCCGCAGAAAGACTCATTGTTTGGCTTCTGATTCCCTTTCTCACTTCGCCTCTTGCTGTTCCATTGCTTATTTGACTCCGTGCCGTGTATATGTCTCTGTCTTCAATCTCTTCCACTCACTCCCCAGGCACCTCTGCACCCTGTACTTTCTAGCCTGTGTCCGTCTTCCCATCTCTCATTATTATTTTTTAATAAGTATCCTAACACAGTAGGGCAGGAATTAGGCCATATTGTGATGATATGCTTGCTTGCCTCTGTGTTTCCTTATTTAACAAAGTAGGTGTGTCTCTTTAGATCCATCAATGCTCAGCGTTGTATGTGGACTATAGTAGTTTTTAAATAAGTGTTCATTCTCAGTAAGGCAGGAGTTAACAAATTTCATGTCAGTGTTTAAGCCCAATACCATCCAGTTTGACAAATCTTGTCCTTGTGCTTCAAGGCATCTTCAGTATTCATGTCATGTTTCTCCTTTGTTTTTACGTGATTGTAACATTGTGGAGAGGTAGTGATAACAAAGTGTTTTCATTTAGTGTTTTTTTGTTTTGTTTTGCGGGGGGTGGGGTGTGCACTTTGGCTCTTCTCCCCTAAGTTTCATAAACTGATTTGTAGGTAAGGAAATTTAGACTGTGGGTTTAACGGAGTGCTGAAGGGTAGGGGAGGGAGACTCAGGCTTTTAGGTATCTTCTCTAGCAGCGGTTTCCTTGTGGAATAGCTGTCTTATTTCGAGTGACCCTCTCCCTTGGCCGCCTGCAGTTACCACGCCTGCCCTCACTGTGCCTTCAGGGCCCGTCTCTAAGTGCACAGACAGAAAGCTTAGGCATTCCCAGATAGGTACAAGAAAATGCTTTACAAAAAAGTTTTATCAGACGGTTTAACATTAACATTTAAAGTAAAATAAAACTCAAAACGCCTATTTTATATGATGTATTCTTCGTTGAAAAACATGTTCATTTTCTTAGCCAGTTTTGTGTGTTCCGTCGCTAGCAGGTCTTGTACAGGAACACGGAGATGAGCCAAGTGGCCTGTTACCAGGCTTATGGGGAACACTGGCTTGAACAAAATAAATTCACACATCAATGTAACACTGCGATTCTGATAAGTGCTAGGAGTGAGAAGTACATGATAGGAAGTTTAAAAAAAAAAAAAAAGAGTAATTTGACCTAGTCATGGAGACTTCTCCAGAAGGATATAAAATGGGTAATCGTTTGTCCATGGGGGATATGGGAGGCAGGAAGTGAAGTGTTCATATAGAGAAAACCTATTGGAGGGAGTGGCCAGTGTGGATGGAAGCCTGATCAAGGGAAGGTCTGGTGGGGATGAGGCTGGTATGGGGGCTGAGGAGCAGGACCACTGCAGGACACAAACATCTTGGTCTTTATCCTGAAATCAACTTTTTAAGCAGGAGGTAAGACTGGAACAATTTAAAAGGCATATTCAGGCATTTAATGAACACTGTTTACTGGATGGCTAGGGCAGACATGGACAGTAGATGGATTCAGGAGAGTGGGATCACATTGGTAAGACCTGCTGATGTTTTGGATGTGAGGAGTAGGGGAAGGGCAGTGTAAGTGATGGATTTCAAATGGCTTGAAAAAGCAGATGGATAATGTTATCCCTGGGGGTGGGGAGCTTTTAGGGAGTAAATAAGGAGGAAACAGATCATGAGTTTATTTTTGGCTTAACATTTGTGCTTCTCATTGCTCCCCACAAGTAAAAATTCATAACAGAAAAAAATCAAAGATTTTTCTGCACAAGTTAAATTCTTTTTCTCTTTCTTTTTTGTTTTCCCATTTTCCAGTGTGTAGCACACATATACAGTAGGTGCTTAATAAGTGTTTTCTGAATTGTTGAATTAAGTTGGAAGAGTTGAAACGCAGTTTTAATGTTACGTGTATCTGCTCTCCTTTCTTAGGATGGCTGGCTGTGGTGAAGTTGATCACTCGATAAACATGCTTCCTACGAACAGGAAAGCGAATGAGTCCTGTTCTAACACTGCGCCTTCGCTCACTGTCCCCGAATGTGCCATTTGCCTGCAGACCTGCGTCCACCCCGTCAGTCTCCCGTGTAAGCATGTGTTCTGCTATCTGTGTGTAAAGGGAGCTTCATGGCTTGGAAAGCGATGTGCCCTGTGTCGACAAGAAATTCCTGAAGATTTCCTTGACAAGCCAACCTTACTGTCCCCAGAAGAACTCAAAGCAGCAAGTCGAGGAAACGGTGAATATGCGTGGTATTACGAAGGAAGAAATGGGTGGTGGCAGTATGACGAGCGCACTAGTAGAGAGTTGGAAGATGCTTTTTCCAAAGGTAAAAAGAGCACTGAAATGTTAATTGCTGGGTTTCTGTATGTTGCTGATCTTGAAAATATGGTTCAATACAGGAGAAATGAGCACGGACGTCGCAGGAAGATTAAGCGGGACATAATAGATATACCAAAGAAGGGAGTAGCTGGACTTAGGCTGGACTGTGACACCAGCACGGTCAACCTAGCGAGAGAGAGCTCTGCCGACGGAGCGGACAGCGTGCCAGCGCAGAGTGGAGCTTCTGTTCAGCCCCTGGCGTCTTCTGCAAGGCCCCCAGCATCGCTGGATGGTCCCTTAACAAGCCCTGCCACGCCGTCCCCGGATGCGAGCACTTCTCTGGAAGACTCTTTTGCTCATTTGCACCTCGGTGGAGACAGCATAGCTGAAAGGAGTCACAGGGGGGAAGGAGAAGAGGATCACGAGTCGCCATCCTCGGGCAGGGTCCCCGCACCAGACACCTCCGTGGAGGAGACCGAGTCTGATGCCAGTAGTGAGAGCGAGGAAGTACCTGCGCTTGGTGCACAGCACTCCTTGACCCACCAGAGACTTTTGGTTCCTAGTGCAAACCAGACAGTATCTGACCGATCAGATCGATCGGGGACTGATCGACCAGTCGCAGGGGGTGGAACAGTGAATGCTGGTGTCCGGTCTAGAAGACCTGATGGCCAGTGCACAGTAACTGAAGTTTAAATATGACAGTCTTCAGCTCCAGGCTCAAAGTTAAGGCTGTAAATTTCTGCCCACGTAACATACTCGTCCCTGGTAGTGCGTTGTTGGGAGCTGGGGGGGAAGGGGTGTGGGGAGGACAGACCTGTAATTAAAATCTCTAACATGTCTCTGTTGAGGAATTTATTTAATATAAGGAACTTGGCGTTAATAGTTGAGAGCTGTTTAGTAATAACCCAGTTTTCTTGAGGTCTGTTTATTTTATAGTTTTTAAAAGTTTCTTCAGTTCCTTCGGCCAGCGTGTGTGTATTATCTGTGCATTAACAGTCCTCATCTGACTCTTGCATTGTGTCTTACTTTTCTGCATGGATTGACGTAAAACCATTACTAAAATCTGGTACCTCTGAGGTGTCTGGTATCGGTATGAGCAGGAAGCTTAATGTGAGAATAGATGTGAATTCGGGATTTTAAAATAGATGAATAACAACTATTAAATAGTAAAGTTACCGAAATGGAAGTGTAAAGAAAACAGCTAATAACTCCTGTTTCAGAATCTTGTCTGTAACATACTCCATGGCATTTCCCATAGGCTCTGCTGTCTGGTCCTTGTAGTTTGAGGTTTCTCTTGACCTGCATTTTTCTTTTTGATTACAGAATTTATAATTTAATAAATACTAGAGTTTACCAAAAATAACTTGTCCATTGTCTGAGTGTGGAAAGAGGATGAAAACATTTTGACATTTGTGGCCAAAGGTCAGTAACCAGGTGGTGATTTGAATCGGTTGTGCTCAGCTTATTCAGCTGCTCAGAAGCTTGGTTTTTTTCATAGAGAATATGTAAACCAACTCCACAAGCAATTGCGTGGAATAAGTACGTATGGAAGTAAACCTAACGCTCGGGGGACCTAGACGTCTGACGTAACTGGTAACAGGCACCACGCACCCTGTAGATTGTCATTGCCAGCTGCCATTAGTGGCTTGACGCTAATGAATCCAACGGTAGGCTTATTTATAAACAGCATTAGTAGACACAAACTTAAAACGTAAAATCTGTGGCAAAATAAGTCTTGGACTAACTTGGTGATCCCGAATTTGGTTCCAAAAAATGGTAATGTTTGTCTTAATATAGTTTAACTCAAAACTGTAGGATTGTGTTGAAGTGTATGCAGGTTATTTTTAATGTTTTTCAAATGTGAATTAAATGTTACCATAGCAAAATACAAACTGTCACTACTTTGAAATTAGCTTTTATCTCTTGTAATAGGTTAGAGTTGGGAGTTAAGTCTTACTTTCATGTTCTTTAAAGCCTGTATTACAGAGATGATCATAATGTGTCAGTTGTGCATTTGTATTAAGTCTACTTTCAAAATATAGCTAGTTATAAAAAAGAAAGCTGTTTTTCAGAAAAAAATAGAAATCTGCTATATAATGCAAATGTATGTTCTAGGATGCTTCATGAGTGCCTTTAACATCTGAGGAAGTTTTGATGTAAAGCTAAATTGTTACTACATAAGCAGTAGTATTTTTACTACTAGTTTGGAAATCCCAGGGCATATACATCCTGGCAAATTTTATAGTCCATAGACTTCCCACAAGAGGACTGTTGTTTAGTAGGTGATTATTTTTAATTTTATTTATTCGTGAGACACACAGAGAGAGGCAGAGACACAGGCAGAGGGAGAAGCAGGCTCCATGCAGGGAGCCTGATATGGGACTCGATCCAGGGACTCCAGGATCACGCCCTGAGCCAAGGGCAGACACTCAACCGCTAAGCCACCCAGGGGCCCCTAGTAGGTAATTTAAAGTAGAAAATTAATTATTAAAACATCAAATAAGACTCTCAAGTTCGTGGGGGGGGGGAGTGAGTAGCATTTTTATTGAAGGAGGGGCCATTAAAAAATTAAAAGACGAGCCATTCCCCAATTCTTTCTTTATAAAGATTTTATTTTTTATTTGTTTTAAAATGATTTCTACAACCAGTGTGGGGGTCAAACTCAACCCCATGATCAAGAGTCACACGCCCCAATGACTGGCCCAGCCAGGTGCCCCTCCCCAAATCTTCATTACCTCCCAGCTAGTTAGAGCTGAAGAAAATGGTTGATTGATCATACCTCTTTTTTTTTTTTTTTAAGATTTTATTTATTTATTCATGAGAGACACAGGGAGAGAGGCAGAGACACAGGCAGAGGGAGAAGCAGGCTCCCTGCAGGGAGCGCAACGTGGAACTCGATCCCAGGACCCTGGGGTCACGGCCTGGGCCGAAGGTGGTGCTAAACCGCTGATCCCCCCAGGGGTCCCCAATCATACCTCTTATCCTGTCCCTGACTCCTCTCCACTTTTGTTTTTTAGTGCAAATCTCAGTACGTTATTTTTGTAAATTATTTCCAGGTAGGACAGAAAAAGTAGTACAAAAAATAACCCAGGGATAGGTTTGTGGAAAGGTGTTTCCTTTTAAAAACTGGTCTTTGGTTACAGTGTAAGAATTACTGTAGCAATTTATGATCATTTTTAGGCCAAAAGTGTTATATATTCTAGCCAAATGTTTCAGATTACTTGATGATTACCCAAATATACGGAAAACTAGATCAGTAAGTCAGTAATTGAAAAAAACTACTAAAAATCAAACTAGCGTAGCCTTTAAAGTAATTCTGGTTGAACGCCTGTGAGTGTCCAGCACTGGAGCTCCCCTGGAGCCCCGGTATTTCGTCCCCCTACTTATTAAATTTTCCTTTCCTAGCAATGGCCTCTCTGTTTGCAGGTCCGCCCCACACCGTTCCTACAAGCTCCTTTTCCATCTGTAAGGCCTCCTCCAAACAGAGCTCTCTGCCGGAAGACACCGACCTTTTCAAGGCTCTGATGACTTGGGGAGGCCCCTGGGTGAACTGCCCGAGCCAGGCCCGCGCCTCCTGCAGACAGCCGGCCTCGTCCGAGGCGCGCAGCACCTCCTCCACCATGCCCAGGCTCAGGGCCCTGGCGGCGTCCAGGGAGAGGGCGCCGCTTAGCACCTTGAGGGCCTGCCGGGCGCCCAGCAGCTCCACGAGGCGGGCGCCGCCGCCCCAGCTCGGCACGATGCCCATCTCCCTGTGGACGAACCTGATCTCGCCGTCCGCGGTCATGAGCCTGCAAGACAAGGGCGAATCTCCGTGAGTCGGCGCCGTGGCCGGGCCTGGGGGGGCGGCCTCGCTCCTAAACGCCCGCCCCACCGCCCCAAGTGCGGGGCCCCGAGGGCAAAGGCTGGACCGAGAGGTCGGGTCACGCTGCGGGGGACATGCGGAGGCGAGGCAAGGGCCATGGCTCAAGAACTGGCTCTTGGTCCGGCGTCTACACGGTGCTCGCACGAGCCCGCGGGGAGCCCACGGGGAGCACGGAGAGCACCTCCTACGGGGCCGACCGGGGGCTGCGGGCCTAGCCAGCAAGCCCTGCGCTCCCTTCACAGTCCGTCGGGACCCAGGAAAGGGCCATGGGCCACGGGGTCAAGACGCCACCAGCGCTCCAGCCAGCCCGGGAGGCCACCGTGGGGAGGCGACCCTGGGGCGCGCACCGATGTCCCCAGCCTGCAGGGGAACAAGCCCCAGACACCCCCGTGAGGCCGCACCCTGGACCCCGGTAGGGCGGCGACTGCGTGTGCCGGAGCCTCCCCGGGACGTGGGGAGAGGACACGGGGGTGGGGGACACGGGGGCCGGTGCCCCTCCTTGGCCCTGGGGAAGACCGCAGAGCAGTCGCAGCCCGCCGAGTAGGCAGCCCGACGCCACAAACCCCACGTGGGGCCCGGCCAGTAGGTGGGTGACCGCGCACCCCTAGCAATCACCGTGCAAACCTCCAGTGTGGACCCAAGGTCATGTCTGTGCTTTAAAAAAATTTTTTTTAAGGTTTTATTTATTTATTCCTGAGAGACACACAGAGAGAGGCAGACACAGGCAGAGGGAGAAGCAGGCTCCTCTCGGGGAGCCCGACGTGGGACTCGACCCAGGGGTCAGGACCTGGGTCAAAGGCGAACCTCGCCACTGGGACCCCCAAGCACCCGTGAACTCTTGTAAGTAATTGTGTTGGGAGACCACAAGCCTTTGATGCAAAGTGTGTAGCTTAACCGAGACTGCCAGGCTCTGACGACAGGTGGGCTGCATATGACACCCCGAAATACAGCAAAGAAAAAGACTCATGGTATAAAGATGATGAGAAAGACTAAACTACTTACCCCTGGGCTTCAGTGTGCTTGTTTATAAAGTAGAATAATAGTACTTATGCCATAGAATTAGGAATATTAAGTGAGTTAATATATAAAGGTGCTTAGAATATATTTGCCAGAATTCATCTAAACAGAAGGAATCCTGGATTGCATTTGTGTGTTTAAAAAACCGTCACTGTGAAATCTGCCTCAGTCCCATCCATGGGGCAGTATTACACTTTTATTTGGAATATAGATGTGTATATTTTGTGGCCTCGCAGGGCCCGACATACTGTAAGCTATGGGTACTGGCTTCTAGGAAGGTGGCTGCATTGACAGCAGGGTCACTACGAGTAACAGCAATGTTTCTGCTACAAGATGAGTATAAAGTGGTTTCCTGTAGTTAAAAGGGCTTGATCCCTAAAATACTGAAAGTGAAAGAACTATACTTACACCGGGAATCCCGACAAATGATGGTTGTACTGTCCTGCCTCAGAGACATACACACCATGTTTATAGATAAGCCTGAAGTAAATATTGCCAAGTTGATTTTAAAAAATTGAGAGGAAGTCAAACTGTAAGAGACTCCTAACTCTGGGAAACACAGAAAGGGTTCATACAGAAGGGAAGGAGGAAGGGAATGAGGTGACTGGGTGACAGGCACTGAGGAGGGCACCTGATGGGATGAGCACTGGGTATTAGACTTAATGTTGGCAAACTGAGTTTAAATAAATTTTAAAAAACACCAGAAAACACAGACACATCTAAGATTAACCTAAGGAATACTGTGTAATACAAGTAAAAGCACAAATATTTTCAAATTTTAAGGAAGGCCTGTCACCAATACAGTAACAGTAATACAATGTCATAAATCTAAAGTTTGGAAACATTGATTTTATTGCTATATATAATATATATATATATATATATATATATATATATATATATTTTTTTTTTTTTTTTTTTTTTTTTACTTGAAGTTCGATTTCCCAACATATAGTATAACGCCTGTGCTCATCCCGCCAAGCGCCCCCTCAGTGCAGAAACAGTCATTTCCATCAACTGTAGTCTGGGCCCAGAAACTGCTCGGTCCTTTTACAGGGAGGTACGCACCGGGAGGACAAGCCCACGGCGATGTGAGCTAACAGTCCCTGCGGGGTCCACCTGGGCGGGGGCGCCTGCACCGCGGCCTCGGCCCGGCTTCCTCCCCGACCTCACGTCCCCGAAAGTCCTGACAAAGCGACCCCAGGAGCCCAAGGTCCCTCCCGCCCGGAATACATCGGGAGCACACCGGCCCCCGGGCCGCGCCTTCAGGCGGGAGCTCACCTCTGCGGGGCCTGCGGCGGGGGCGGGGCGGGGGAAGCTTCGCCGCCCCCTGCTCGCCCTCGAGCGGTCCGGCGGGGGCGGCGGCGACACGCACAGTCCTACCCGACCCGTGGGGACCGCGGTCAGGGCTCTGGAAGGACCCCAGGCTGTCCCTGCGTCCCTGTGCGGGCACTCGTCACTGTATGGACTCAGCTAGTATTTTTGGGGCAGGGCGACCCCCGGTAGCTCGCCCGCCCTTCCCACAGGCCTTCCCACGGGCCTTCCCACGCCCCTTCCCCCGCCAGGCCGGGCCGGGGCTCACCACTGCTGCGCACAGAGACAGGCAGGTTTCATCCCGCATACGCACAGCTAAACCCTTGATCTTCCAAAGAAACACAGGAAACAAAACTGCAGACAATTCCCACGCGCACACCAATGAACATGAACATTTCTGCATTACCAAAAACCTCTTAAAAGTGCAAATTAAAACTTGATTTTTCATTATCAAAATGAGAAAAGCGGTTTTAAAAGATTATACCCCTGATAAGACGGTGCTCTCGCACAGATGCCCCTCGGCTGCTGGCACTAGGATAAAGGGGCCGAATCTTTCCTGAAGGATAACATGGCACTAACGTATGAAAGACTCTGGACATTTTTTTACCCTTGATGAAGTACTTGAACTGCTCACAGGATTCATTCTAAGGGAATAATCTGAAATGCGGCAAAGCCTTGTGTATAAGGCAGTTGTCGCGACATTAATCACAACAAGGAAAAGCAGGAAAGCACCAGAAGAGGATACGTTAGTGTACCCATATCGATGGAATATCTTGTACTTGGTAGACTCATGGTTTCGATATTCAATGACAGAACGCCATCATTTTATAAACTATACACCATATGATCCTAGTTTTTTAAAATAAAAAAGTATCTATTTTAAAAAGACCTGAAGAGAGCACGCCCAGCGCTGGCAGGTGCCTCGGGAAGGGGACTGCAGCTCCTGTCCCGCACAGCCCCGGACTGGACAGCCGCGGAGGGGTGCTCGGGGCGCGGGGCGCCTGCCACCCTCCGGCCCGCCCCGACCGACCCTAACCGGCGGTCAGCACGACCCCCGGGGGCGCGGTTACTAGAACGAGCAATGTCCCTTTACAATTAGAAAATGCAAGAAACATTTTAAAAATCTCGCCGCCTGTGTCGTTGGCTCCTGGGGCTGCCGGAAGAGCTCAGCGGGTCCCCGCTGGGCCGCGCACCCTGGGGGCTCTTCCCCCCACGGGCCTCCCCGGCCGGGCCCCACGCCCCTCCTCGCTCACTTCCCAGCCCGCCTCACGTCTTCACTGCCTGAAGGTCCCCCGACAATCCAGGGTAACCTCCCGCCGCCAACCCCGGGCCCTCAGGCACTGGCGAGGCCCCTCGGGCCAACCGGCAGCAGGCAGGGCACCGGCCCCGCGCCCACGAGTCCTCGCTGCCCCCTCCCCGAGGCCGACTGCCAAGGGCCGGCCCGCCGTGGGGCCAGGCCTCACTGAGGAGTGCGCGACGGGCACGTACCGTGGATGCCCCGCACCATATTAAAAGCAAAAAAAAAAGGAAGCTGGAGACAAGAAAATATTAAGAGGACCATGAGGGAGGCCAACACACTGACAGCCCGTGCCCGTCCGCGTCACACGAACCGGGCCAGCTTCCAGGGAGCGCGCGCAACGGCGTGGGCCGGCACCCCGGGGCCTGGCGCCGCGGGCAGGGGCGCCCACGGGCAGGGGCGCCCACGGGCCCAGCCGACCTCCGTTCACTCCACCGGGCCGAGCCGAGCCGAGCTGCCAAGCTCCGGCCTCCGGCCCGCCCTCCAGCGCCGCCAGCGAGGCCCACTGCCGCGGCCGCCCTCCAGGCAACCCGCGGCTTCCCACCACGGACCCCTGCACCCCCACCACCCACCCCCCACCCCCCGTGCGAGCCGCCAGTAGGTAGAGGCTCCGCAGAGGAAACCATCCCAGCAGGACGGAGCAGGAGGCTCCGCCGGGCCCAGCACCTCCCACCCCAGGGGACTGTCAGGAGCGCCGCCTAGGGGCTAGCCTGTCGGGGATCCAGAGCTCGGGGAGCGCAGACACCCGACCCGCACTCCAGAACCCGGACGCGGCGGCTGTTTCCTCCAATATCCACGCGGTAAAACCAGGATATGAAGGCACGACTGGCTCCCTGCTGAGCCGCCACTTCAAAGAGGCCACCGGCACAGAAACCGTGTCAAGGCCTGACTGCGGAAGCAGGTGTGTATTACAGTCGGCGGGATTCGTGTATGCTGTTAAGAACTTTTTCCGAATCACAAAATATTTCAAATACACAGAAAATAATAAACTCATGTACCCGTTCCCCAGATTTTGCAGATGTTAACACTTTGCCACATTGATTTCTGTGCTCTTTTCTGTCATCCTTTTCCCTTCTCTTCCCGGCTTCTTTCTCTCTCCAGCGGCAACCAATATCCTGAAGTTAGTGAGAATCCTTTCCGTGCATGATTTAACTTTTAATAAATACTCAATATGTTGATCCAACAGTAAGCTTCTGCATGAACTAGTATTTCAGTTTTATGTCCAGTACCACAAAGACAGTCCACCTGACCACGCTTAAATTGTTCAGTATTTGGCAGGTAATTTCTATATTGAAAAT